CCCGAGATATAACCGAAAAGCACAGAAACGAGGAATAGATTTCACTGTCTGTACTTCTCGATTATGCCTCGGGTTTAATTAGTGTCGGTGTCGTTATATTGTCAGTTAAATAGATATGTTTAATCTTTGCTTTATCAATATATTTAATTTTCATGTAAAAAATAGTTTATTTACTGTTATTATCACAAAAATGTTTATCATATGAAGCAAACGAACATGATTATGAATTTATTTTGACACATGTAATATTTCTACTATTGAATTGATAGTTTGTGGTTCTGATACTATGGGAACCTAATGTACTTACAAATAGATTTCGTATAGAAGTAAGATTTCTTAATAAAAATATCATTGCATATTTGTATGATAATCTTAAAGTTGCTGATATCTTTACCTTACTTGTCATATCATCATATCTGAATGCGTGAAATGTCAATTCCGTGATTAGTGAATCGCTAATTTAAAATTATCAAGTATTATACTCTCGACATTTTTATATTAAGATTTTTTACTAAAAATTTATCTCAGGAACACGTTCTTTTAAAAAAGCTGTAAAACAAGATAACGATATTGAACTATCGTTAAGAATTACAGAATCGGAGAGTACTGAGAGTTGATTATGTATAATCTTTAAACGAGACTTAAGCCTAAAGCCTAATATACAATGTGTTTTCTTTCCTGTTTCTTGCTTTTTATCTCATGGTTTTTTCTTTCTTTGCAATCGTTTTATCGATAATCGTATTTCTTTTCACTTATTTCTTATTTCGGGCGACAAAAAACGAAAAAATCTGGATAAGAGATAGAAAGGCAAGAAATAAGAAGTGGTAAAAAGCAAGAAACGGGAAACATTGCAGATTAGGCTCGAGACAATTGAAAAACACAGGTAACAGGAACGGAAAACAACAGATTTTAATCTAACAGAAATCGTGTATACCAGAATACAATACGTAGGTATAGAATACAGAATAATACCATATGTTCCACCTTCGGATAAGCTATGTGATAATTTATCTAATGAACAAAAGAAAAAGTAAACGAGATAAAGGACGAGAGCGAAAGCGAGAGAGCAAGTAGCTGAAATTTATCGAAAGGTGGAACAACTCGACCTATGACTTTATTTGTTACTTATAAGTGAACTTGTAAGTGACAATTGAGCTTAAAATAAATCCTTAAAATACGGCAACCTGTTGCTATACGATGGCAAATTAATAATATTCAATAATTCAAACAGGCAGAATCTCATCATATTTTTTTAGAACTTTTAATTACGACTGTGTTCCAAAATTTACACTGTTAGTACTGAAAATCTCTACTGCGCATAACTTAAACTTTCTCCCTCTCTCTCTCTCTCTCTCTCTCTATATATATATATATATATATATATATGTGTGTGTGTATGTATTCAGCAGTGAATTTTGAATAGTTCTGACATTCTATTGTAAAAAATTGAGAAAATAAAGAAGTTCCTCTTTGATGTAAAAAAACTTTCAAATGTTTCGACTATTTAAAAAGTATTAAATATTAAGTTTCACGTAGCTAAGGTCATGATGACGTTCTCTTACGTCATTATAACTTATGTGTTCTACCTAAAGATTAGCTTCACCTTGACAATCGGACTGTGAACGATGCGGCTCGCGGTTGTTCTCTACTAACTACTTCAATTCTTTGTCGCGATATAATTAAATGCCAGACGACGCGTGATGGATGCGCGTCTAGCGCTCTCTCGTATTTCACATGTCTTTGTTTTTCGCGAATGTGCCTTCCTGAAAGGTAGAATCGCGAACGAGACAATCGAATCGCGATTACATTTGATTTGAATGTCAAAGAAATCGACCTTGAGACACGTAACAATTACGTATTTTGACAATTGTCGATTAAAAAAAAAGAGTAGGATGATCTAAAAATAAAACTTACCGGTGACCTATAGTCTGACGAATCGATCGATTATTTTTCATTTTTACTGTTTTTCTTTTTTTGTTCGACAACAAATAAAATTGTGAGAAGAGCTATTCTCGACATTTTATATGTGTACACACTGAAAAGTAAAAGATTGTTATCGTTCGTTGCGGAGTTAAAGATCTTGATCTAATGTTTTGGCTTGTCGTCCGAGAATCTTATTCTTAGACACGGCCGCGTGACAATAGAACTTTATTGTTCGATTTTAAAACGTAACGAAGGTGATGTGACCGATTGATGCTTCTAAAGAAGAATGTAATTGAATTGATTTGGATCCAAATATACATATTTTGCGGGGATGGATAAAGGTCAAGTTTCGTGCAAGACGTAAAATTTCAGCTCTCACATTTATGTTTTCCTGAGATGCGACTCGATATGTCACGGGAATGATATTTATTTTGCGCCATGCAATTTATATTTTATATTATGTCATGGTTGTCACAGACCTGGAAAACCGGGAAAAGTGAGGAAAATTAATATTGGTCATGGAAAACCGGGAAAAGTTTGGGAAAATGTAAAAAAGTCTGGAATTTTGAAATTTGCTCACAATTTCCTTAAATTGTTCTTATTCCAGATAATTGTTATAATTTTTTAATATTATATCTGACGTTTATAATGAAATACGTTCAAAACTTGCACACTTTAAACAATTTTAATAAAATAATTAAAATTTATATTTTATTCAGTATTTTTATTTGATCGCTCTTTTTTATAATTGCATTCTTTTTCCAATACCTACTAATTTATTTTTTGTTAGTTTGAATTTGTATCCAAATTTTAGTATGCTACTAAGTTTTTTTTGCGTTGTTTTTAATAATATAGGCTAACTTTCTTACAACTTTTGACTTTAAATGTATTAAAATTTACATATTTTATATTGGAAAGTTTTCCATTTTCATCTGGAAAACCTGGAAAAGTCAGGGAATTTTTTAATTTATTTTCTGTGGCAACCCTGTATACATACATTCGCATCTCACATGTCCACGGCGCGTGTGCGTGCGTTTACGTACACGTGTATCCACGGTCTCTCACGATCGATAGAAAATTAAATAAACTGATTGGTATCAATGTAGATTAATTTTAACTCTACCTTTAATTTACTCTTTAGTTTTTTAAATTTAGAACTAGGAAAAGATAGAAAGTAAGTTAAACTGAGATTATATAAAATAAAGATAAAAATGAATTCAACAATTTAAAGCATGCTAATCGCCGGACTGAGTGTCAGCTGAGCTCTGTAATGATTAAGAATCAATATACACATATACGCGAGTTCATGACATAAAACCTTGTTAGCATCATATTTAGATTCTTATTTATCGACTTTTCCTCGTGTCATATAAGCTTTTTAAATAATAAAAAGTCATTAAAAATTAATCTCAATTATATTCATTAATCTCAATTACTCTAAATAATATTACGGAATCTATATCTCGAATTTTTCATTTTTCGAATGAATTGCCGGGTTTAAGATAATATTGACGCTGAAATAGCAATGCAATTTAATAGTACAATTTTATAGTTTATATATTAAAATTTTTTATTTTAATTATTTTTTAAAAACATATGTTTTTTATTGAAATGATTTTTGATCGAAGTTCTATTATAAATTGCCGCAAAATTTTTATGGTATTTTTAAATACAATATAAAATCTCTAATTTTTTCAATATATATTGCTGTCCGACGTGACAGAAATTAATCAAGATTAAAGCGCACGATATAATATTGCAATAGATCAGTCTATCGAATGCTTCAGTAACGACCGAAAACCTGTTGCCGCATTTCTTTTGTCGCGACAGCATTGTGTTCTCGAGTATATACATACGTATATACTCATGCAAAACTGCTTGTTGATTTGCGACGAGGCAAAATCAACATTCTTTATGTTACGCATAATCGCGTCTTTCATTATCGGTATTCTACATGTGAAATTTTAGACATTTAAATTTGATATATGTAAAGTTAAGAATTACCAATTCATCAAAATTTATCTGCTTCTAAATTTAAATGTCTCAGATTGTAAAAAATGAGGAATTTACTCGTAGATTTCTTGAAATCTTGGATATTTAACATAACAGGATTATAAAACCAAGATTCTTCGAAAATTCGACTATTGAAAAAATATCTGGTTGAATTAATTGGCA